TATTACTATTATTATCATTATTATTATTATTATTATTATTGTTATCATTATTAATATTAATATAATTATAACTATTATTTTTTGTATTATTCTAAACATTTTAAATATTATTATTTTTGTTATTGTCATTGCTATAATTATTATTATTTCTGCAATGATATTATTATCTGAGTTTAAAAAAGTGAATTTTTGTTTATTCGGTTAGTCAGCCAACGGATTATTAACACTAACAAACAGCAAAAATTTTTTTCACCTGTTTTTGAAGATTTCTCACAATTTAAGAATGATAAGCTTTAGAAATAGTAAAAAAAAAATTTAGAGTTTTTTTTTTAAATTTAATAAGCAACAGAAAATTGTGCTCTTTTTTTTTTTTTTCGCAGAAATATTTTTCAGATAACATCACAAAGATGGTTTCGTTTTGTCAAATTAACAAAATCAACTGTAATATATGCTCAATTAAACAGTTGAATTTTTGTCATTTTTATCTTTCTTTAGTTGCTGTTGGTGTTAGTGTTGATGTTGCTAGTATCGGTGTTGGATACTTTGGTGCAGTAATTCAGAATCCTTACAGTAGGTGTAGTGGTAGTGAAGTTGTTGTTGTAGCAGTAATATTAAGAACTGATAAAGTTATAGTAATAATAGTGGTTGGGATGGTGAACTATTAAATCAAACATAAAAACTTTATCTAACGCCTTAATTACTCTAAGATATATAATTGTATTAAAATTGTTCAGTTTTTTTTTCCTCGCTGGTTTTCTTTTTTTTAATTTTTTTCTTTCCTTCTTTTTTTTCCTCATTTTCCATTTTCTTTTTTTCAGTTATTGAAGACGCTAACGTCGTCCTTTGGGACCGTGTCGTCGAATCTTAAACCCGTTACGATGTCGTGACCGTCGAAGTCCCAGTTTTGATCGTAAACGGTGCGATGAACGGATTGGCTTTACCAATTCTTTTGGTACCGTTTCATTTGTGTCTGTGGATTCAGAAGCTGATGATGGTAGTGCAGCTGGAGTTTCTAAAACATTACGAAGAAAAAAGTAAATGCAGAGAAGTAAAATCATTTTCCAGTTAACACTGCACAAAAGAAAAAAGAAAGAAGAAACAACCACAACAAGAAGAACAAAATTCACTGCAAACCAAAAATGTTAGAATTGAAGTGATTTTACAGTATGTGATTACGAAGTGATTTACCGCAAACAGTAAGTGAACTACTAAACCGTAGTAACACATAAAACTTGTAACAAACTTGCTAAAAGAAAGTTATACCAAATATTCGTTAGAAAAATTTCGGTAAAGTTCTGTTGTCTTTGTCTAAAATTTGCTTCTTTTTTTTTTTGTAAAAGGTGATTTATTAGAAAACACCAAAAATTTTTTTGATATTACCTTTATTTGTTGGAAATATGTATATATTTATCACTTACCTTATCTAAATAATAACCTGCTTTAGTGAATAGGTAAATTTTGTTTAGTTCATTTACTGTATATACGTTTTTAACGGAAATTGCCAATGTTTTGTGTGTATCAATCATTTAATGACGCTTAAAATCCGCTAAACCTTTTTACGTCTTCAAAAAAAAAAGAGAGAAAAAAAAAAGAAAAACAATGAAAAAACTTCTCATCTTTTTTCTTTGATTGTCTATAAATGATAAATTGGCGACATACTCAATGAATCCATCACTGCATCAATTACAACTTTAACGCCTGCCCAAGTTTCTCGTCCTGTTGGTATCAGTTGACGTTTGTCCAACAAAAATCCATCCCATTCTACAATAGTGTTCTTTTTTTTCTTGTTTTCTGTTTCACTGCCAATTAATTGTTAGCAGTAGACATTTGGCCGAAAGAAGGAAAGAGAAGAAAAGCAGTTTTCAACTTTTCAACTAACCATCTTCGCCAGGACGAAGCTCCAGCAGATAAACATATTTAATATTGGCTTTTGCTTTTGCCCAATCATCTGATCCACCAGCAGACGGATCTAAATAATACAAAACAAAACTTTTTAAGAATGGTCAGAAAATAAGGCAGGAAAAAAACCAGCTGATAATAGTCTGCTTATTGCCACTGATTTTCTTTCTACTAAACGACTATAATTTTCAAATAACGTTACATTTGAGATATCTCAGTGAACAAGATGCACAGTTCTAAATTTAATCACTTGTATAGCTCTGGTAAGAAAAGTTTTAAAAGGCAAAAATAGTTTAGAAAATTTTTACATTTAAGAAAAAAGAGAACATGAAACACATACATAATATGTCGGCTCCAGTGCCAAAACGATATTTTGTACCATATACTTCCTCTAATGCTTTAACTCCTAGTTTACCGACGTATTCCTAAATCATTGTTTAGTTGTTCAAAATTATAAACTAAATCTTAACTTGGTAACAACAGTAATCTTTTTTGTTAGCTGCCTTTTGTAAATACAAAAATTTAGACAGAAATTCTTGATGCCTACCAAATCGTTGATATCAGCGGGTACAGAATGTTTTTGGTGGTTATATGGATGTATCCACATTTGTGAGTAGGTATGCAATGTTATAAATGCGTCAGTTTTACCACTGAGTTCCGGTGATAATACTTTATCTCGAATAGCTCTAAAAAAATCGGTTGCTTTTTAGTTGATTCTAATCAATTTTAGTGCAGTTAAAATTTCGATATATTTGTGGTGAAAAATTCAGTGTTACCTGGATTCAGGTTCACTAAAAGCAGCACTGCCTTGATATATTTCTGAGCAGATATCATTGCTTGAACCTGTTTCTAAAATCAAGCGTATTATTTCTTTGCAAAACAACAACGTGAAATCAGTTTTGTAAACTCCTCCAAGAAAAATCTTTTTCTATTTTGTTGATTTTAGTAAAAAAATTCTTAGCTGGCTGTATATAGCTGATTTCATATGCTCGATAAAATGATAAGTTAAGTGAATGATTTAAGTAAAAAGTAGAGATGTTCAATAAATTAGTTTTTTTTCTTTTGACTTTTCAAAAAAAAAGGAGAGAAAAGAACAAACCTCCCCAATGAAAATCAAAATTACGATTTAAGTCAACACCGCTGCAACATCTTTCACGTCGCCAATGATCTTTAAAACAGGTCTGAGGTCCACGATTTTTACGCCAAAATCTCGTCTAAAACTCAAGAAACCAATAATTTATTTTCAGCAAAATAAAATTTTTCTTCTGTTAACTCTGATTAATCCTGTTGTTCAACTTGTTTTTTTGTTACTTGCTTTTTTTTTGGCTTATGTAAACAATTTTGAGCAAATAAACAAGTCAACAATAATAGCGGTTCGAATGCATAAAAACAAACCTGCAGCTAGAAACACTGATTAAGTGAAGAAATAATAAAGGTAAATTTTGCAGAAGAAAAAAGATAATAAAGAGAATAGGAGAGATTAAATTTTTCGTAACGGTAAATAGCAACTATTTTAAATGTTTAGCTAAAGGTTTAACCTGTGGTGAATCGTCAGATTGCGAATATTCAAAACCGTCTGGATTAAGCACAGGTGTTATGTAAAAGTTTAATGTATCAATGTATGCAGTAATTTTTGGATCAATTCCATAGTCTGATATAAGCTGCAAAATTAAAGCTGACTACAATTGCTATTTGAAAGTT